AGTTAGCATAAATCAGTTAAATGACGAAAAATTAGGTGTCTATTTACTTGTGACCACTCAGTGTATGACAACCGGTGACTCACAAACAAAAACGCAAATAAATACGCTCAGAAACAAAATTAGAAACGACATTAAGCTACTAAAATAACAAAGGTGGGACACATTCTGAACACAAATCAACTTAAAAACAAATCCCAAAAATTTCTGGTCTGATATAAAAAAAACCTACAAAGTCAAACCATAAACCATCACCATGTACCCTATATTTAAACACAATAATAAACTAACATGCATGAATAAACAGAAAGTACACGCTTTTAAAGAACAACTCCAAAAACATTCCAAACACCAGACGACTCAAACAATAACATCCAGTTCATGAACATAATGAATAATTATATCACAACCAATCGTGGTACATATACAACACACTTCACTTGGGACACTCAACACAATAACATAACAACAGAAGCGGAACACAACTGCACAACAAAACAACTTATCAGACCCATCACAGTAACAGAAGTACAAGAAAACATAAAATATTTGAAAAACAAAGCACCAGGACAAGACAAAATTCAAAACTTATTACTCAAGAAAGGCTCTCTGAGATTATTAAAACCCCTCACATCTTTACACAACTTATCTCTAAAAACAGGATACAATATCAACCTTTTGGAAACAGGCCAATGTTTTTATGTTCCAGAAGGACGGAAAACCAGCGAAGAACCCCGAAAACTACAGACCCATAAGTCTAAAAAGCAATCTAGGAAAACTATTTGAAAAAATTATAAATAATAGACTCATAAATTACCGTGAAACTAAATCAATACTCCCGGAAATACAAAATGGCTACCGAAAAGCAAGACAATCAACAGATCATCTCATAAGATTAACGGAAGAAATAATACACCGCTTTAATAAAAAACAGTGTACAGTCGCATGCTTCCTAGATATTAAAAAGAATTATATAAAGTATGACACAATACACTCGGATATAAACTTTCCAAGCTGGGAATATCCATGGAAATTATTCGCTGGGTTTCTAGCTTTCTGGAAGATACGAGCATCAGAGTAAATGTTGAGGACACCTACTCCGAGTGCTGCATTCCGGAGGCGGGAGTCCTTCATGGAGGAGTACTTAGCCTTACACTGTTTATCATGTATGTTGGCGATATGCCTCTCAGAGACCCAAACCACACTTTTTGCCCACAGTTCGCAGATAATGTTGCGATCTGGAAGAGTGCTCCAAATCCAACAACAGCAACATACAATATAGAACAACTACCAAACGAAATAGAATTGTACTGTAATAAGTGGAGAATTAAAATAAATGCGCACGAAACACAAGTCATATTATTACAAAATCGTACAAAAGACACAAAACATTATCACAGTTATATCTAAACGCAACTCTCTTACAGGTAGCAACATCAACAAAATTCTTAGGGATTACATTTGACTCAAAATTAAATTGGATACCACACATTAAGAGCATGAAATTCAGAATATAGATAAAAGCAAGTTACCTTAGGAGTCTGATTGGTAAACAAACAAGGAGCTTCACCAGAAAACGTATTGAACATTTACAGAACATACATAAGACCAGTCGCAGAATGTGAGTAGTATGGGTAGGCACATGGGAGCCGTAAGTAAACAAATATGACCTTCACTAAATTATTTATATTATGTATCCATTGACCTTAAGTTATACGTTTTTCTGGAGCCAGAAATAAACAAATACGACCTTCGATACGTGTCGAGGGTATTGACCTAATATGCATCTCATATATATTTCAGGGGTGTGAAATGTATAAGATTAAGTAAGTGTGTTCTATAGATAAAATAAATTCATTAGATTTGTTTTGTTTCATCTACAAATAAGATTATTATGATTCATAATATAAATCACTCGGATAATATCTTCAATTTAAAAACATTTATTTTTCTTTGTACATTAAGGTTTTTCGAAAATTGATATACATAAAAAGGTATATTTAGCAAATTCATTGTTATATTAGATCGTTCTCTAACAAAATTATAAACACATAAATCATTTGTATTTTTATTAGATACGTCTACAACACCAGATGGCGTGTTGTTATGTAATATAATAGTATTACGTCATTTACTCCAGGGCCGAGAAAATGTATAAGACAAAGTAACTGTATTTTATTTCAGTATGATAAATAAAATATTTTAAAGATATTTGTTTTGTTTCATTCATATTTTATTTATTTTTATTTTTGAATCTCGCGCAAAGCTACACTAGGGCTATCTGCGCTAGCCGTCCCTAATTTAGCAGTGTAAGACTAGAGGGAGGGCAGCTAGTCATTACCACCCACCGCCAACTCTTGGGCTACTCTTTTACCAACGAATAGTGGGATTGACCGTCACATTATAACGCCTCCACGACTGAAAGGGCGAGCATATTTGGTGTGACAGGGATTCGAACCCGCGACCCTCAGATTGCGAGTCGAGTGCCTTAACAACCTGGCCATGCCGGGCCCGTTTCATTTATAAACAAGGTTATTATGATACAAGAATATTTCTATCTTCTACTTAATGTAAATCACTCTGACAATTTAATCTTCAATTTAAAAACATTTATTATTCTTCGTACAATAAGGATTCCGATATTTGTATACATAAAATAAACATAGCTTTCTCTTATGAGAGTTGTCGTGTTTCATCTACAAACGATGTTATTATGTATGTATGGAAAGATTAATATACATAACTCTGAAAAACTTTTAAAAACCTATATTAAATGTAGTACAATAAGAAGTTTGATAATAGTATACATTAAATTGCTCCTGTAACAAATAAACCAGTAATAACTATTAGAGGCCTACATGAAAAGGAATATCTAGTACTAAATCGTCCCCTGTAACAAAATCTTGACAAATATATAATTATTATTCTTATTAGATGTCTAGTTAAAACATTTTACATTGAATTGTCCTGTAACAAAGTATGAACAATATAATATTAATATCTTTATTAGATGCAACTTTGGACAGTATTTTTTTGTATGGATACATGTCTACGTATGTGATAATCATAATATTTCTATTTAGCCATTTTTACAGAGGTAGTCAGATAACTCTTGAATAAACTCACCAGTCCCAACAAACTCAATGGGATTTAAATTATTAAAACCGTGTATGTTCAGTTTACCAGCTCTAACTTGAAACACATCTAATATATTGTTTTTATCCACTTGAGTTAGAGCAGAACTCAGATATATACAGATACCTTCATCATTATCTAACATCACACATATATGATTAGTTTCACTGGGATCATCGATTTCACAATCACAGCAATGTTTCTTTCAAAGTTTTTGTATAACTGAGATACATGTTCAGTATATACTTCGAATAACAAGTTTTTAATGTTAGATGTAGTTTTTGATTCAGCTTGATTTAAACACGAATCGATAAAACAAACTTGTTCACATAAGTTATACCATTCAGACTTTTTCAAAGTTATAAGACTTGATATATTTTGTAATGTTATCTTGTTTTACAAATGCAATACATGCATTTCTTAACTCGTCACATACGGTACACGTCTTCCAAGTTGAGAATACAAATTGTAATCTAAGAATGTGAACATTCAAACTTTTATTTAGAAAAAGTAACATAAAAACAACCCTACGTTTTCCGACAGAATTGAACAAAACTAACAACTGAGAGAGAACACCATTACCAGTAGATGCATAACCTCATTCGTCAAAGTAGTAGGAAGCACTTATGGTATGTAATTAAAGGCGTGCTTTTTTTTTGTTTTTTAAAGAGCAGTTGTTTAGGTTAAAAAGCTGGATTGCCAAGATTAAATTATCTTTCATACAAATCTGGTTTGTTCGTTTGTTTTTTTGGCATAAACAGCGTAGAAATATCTAACTTTCCGTTCTAGAATATCTCTCTTATCATGACCACATTCCCAAACCTGGACTCGATCCACAGAAAGTGATGCTCTGCATTTGGTGGGACATCAAAGGAGTAATTCATTTCGAACTCCTCAATCCACAGCGAACTGTCAATGCAGAGATCTATAGTCAGGAACTGGAACATTTAAATCAAGCCCTTCAACAGAAACACCCTTCACTCGTAAATCAGAGAGGTGTTTTTTCTTCTCCATGACAATGCACATCCACATGTGGCACGTTTGATGCAA